ATGTAGGTGATCCTGTGCCCTTTCGATCCTCACTATTAACAGATTTGTGTGTGAAATAATGGTAATTCTGCTAGTGTTTTGCATTATCAACTAGTGGTTTTGAACTTCATAGCTGTTGGGAGTATTTTAAATTTCCTTACATAATATTTTAACATTATCTTTGACATGTAGCATAGTGAGTTCTTTTCTAACTCATTAACTTTTTTCTCACTTGGGCTTCCTTTAGATGTGGTATTTCTGCCTTTGTAGGTGCTTTTTGGGATTTTTTATTGATTTGCACTTCCCCTTATGTGTCATGATACTGCTTATTGAACATAGGTTATTCTTGTTTTTCAATAGGCTTCAGAGACACTGAGAAGATCTTACTGGCTCTGTTTCTTCTTACTGTTTCTGATTTTTAAAATTTCTTTTTGTTTTACTGCGTTTATACTTCACGTGATAATCTTATCGGAAATCATCTCTGAGAGTTTCAAATACACGTATTTTCCCCATCTAAAGGCCATGGGACATGTAGTTTTCGCACAGTGAAACCAACACCATCATCATGGTTTTCTCTCACTGTCACCTTGCCTAGTTCTTCAGTAGGTGGCATGTTCTGCTTGGTGCAGTAGTTGACTGTGAAGTTGACTTCATTTTGACTGAAGTAGATGATAGCGAGGGTGAGAGTATAAGGCTAGAAACACTATCCAGGAATTGTTGCAGTTCCGTATTGAACAATAATAGGGAAAAAACTGGGCATTACTAATCGCAGAAGGCTAAAGTCAGTGTTTTTAATTTTCATGCTTCATGACCTAGGTATACTTTGCATAAATTCTGTTTTTAATATATCAAATATGAAGAAAGAAAAAGTGGAGCTAAAAACCCAGGTAAACCTGGATTCAGATTCCAGCTCTGTTGCTTAAATACTATGTGGCTTTGGGCAAGTTAGTTATTTAAACTTTTTGAATTTCACTTTATTCATCTGTAAAATAGATTGTCGTTTTTAACATTGTTTTAACAATTGTCAGTAATTAATTTTGAGATCTTATTTAGATTTCTTTTCCTGAGCCTACAGTTTATAATGTAAATTTAGATGTTTTAGAGAAATCAGCATTTGGGCTTAGAAAAGGGTATTTAGAATGGAAATTAAATAAAGGAATTGATTTATATTTTTGTTTATTTATAATTTAGGTGGGGGACCTACCTGATGCAGATATTAAACCACCAGAAAATGTGCTGTTTGTATGTAAATTGAATCCAGTGACCACAGATGAGGATCTGGAGATAATATTCTCAAGATTTGGACCAATAAGAAGGTAATCTCTAGAATTAGTAAAAGATTTTAGAAAAACTAGGTATTATTTGGTGGTTTTCTAATGACATTTTTGATAAGTCTATGAACTCTAAGTGAATTTTGTCCTGGTGAATCTTACAGATGAGTCTTTTGGACAGTAGGGAAGAAAAGTATGTATGTGTATATGTGTAAGTATACATACAAATATATACATCGTATGTAATTAATGGTTCTTCTACTTCCAACATATTTTCACTCTAAACCAAGAAGTGAATGGAACAGTTTAAGTCTAGTTCTATGGTATTCTCAATAACCTTCTTTAATATTTAAAATATTTATCTCATTTAAGTTCTCCCTAGAATGACCAGAAATCCATATCAAAATTAATTTAAATCTAAATTTTCTCAAATTTTTCTTTTTGCACAATTAATGCAAAAGTCTATGAAAGTAGTATTTCTGTAAGAAAGGAGAATATTTTAAAATTAAGTATTTTATATTTAGAATCTCATTTCGTGTATTTTTTTCATGAAGCCATTCTTGATTCTTTCTGTTGAAAGAAAAATCTTTCTATAAATGGCTGCCTAACTTTTTTTTTTAACTCAACTCTTCCATCCACTTACAATATATCATATTTATAAAAAATACTCCTGTACTGCTGCTTATTTTTCAATTTTAGACATCATATACTGACTTCCTGCTAGGGAGCGTGAGATTTACCTCTATTACTGACCTTCTGGGTTCGATCTTTCCTATTCCTGCTTTGGTTGTGTCAAAATTTTGGCTAGGTCATTGTTCAGTATTTACATTTTAATGTTTACATAAGTGTTGTAACAGCTGAACCATGAGCTATAATGTGATTACTTTTCCTTTTTCTCACAATGTTTTATTTTCCTGTTTCATTTTATGTTAAAAAATAGATTTAGGACACGTGAGGAAAGGGACAAGCCAGCTGGTTTCAACACTATCTTATTTGCCCTTTCACTTGGTGGTTAAGATGAATTAGCTCTGTATAATAGCTATTCTTGCAGGGTTAAATTTGAGTTTGGCTCATAGTAAAAGCATAATAACTTACTGAACATGTATATATGTATGAATGTGCATACATTATTCTATCGTAACATTCTATAATTCATCTACTTCTGGACTAGAAGTGAATTATGATTAAAAAAATTTTTTTAGCAGTTAACTTTTGTCATAGGGAAATTAAATATTTTTATCTTATTCTTCCTTAGTGCTTTGGGAATTTAAGACTGTAGGCCTAGACAGGTCATTTAGAGTAAAGTTAGGTAATGTAGTTACTAGACTGGTAAACAATTTTTTTAAAAATAGTTATTATTGAAGAAATTTGGAGAAGTATAATTCTATGGGCTTAACTTTGCCTTTTAATAACTGTCTTATTTTGTTCTTCAGTTTCAAAGAGTGAGAGTGAATGCTTTTTTTTTAATGTCACTTTTTCCAACTTTCAGTTGTGAAGTTATCCGAGATTGGAAGACTGGAGAATCCCTCTGTTACGCTTTCATTGAATTTGAAAAGGTAAGTCATAATACAGACATGTGAAGTTTGGTATTTATTTTATTCTGATGGTATTAAAATGTGAAAAACTATAGAACTTTTTTCTAGTCTTTAAGATTAGAAAATTACTGTGCCCTTTAGGCAACCAAGAAAAACGACTATTATATTCAAATAGGGGATAAATTCAACATCTTTTCATGTTAATATATGTACCTTTAGGTTCAGGTGCAATCTGCATTACTGTATCTTTAAAACTTTAAAGTTTTAGGTAAAGTCATTCACATTCTGTAAATGGTTTTTCAGTGTTATTTAGGGAGATACATAATTTAATAATAGAAAGAGAACTGGACTGGGTGTTAAGTTCTAAATATTAATCTGAGCTCTGTCACCGATCAGCTTTATATGATATTTGGCAGTTTATTTAGAACTCTTCTTGCTGAGCGTTAACTTCCTTGTAAATAAAACTTGAGTGTTGGATAAATGGTACCTTCTAGATCCATAATAATAATGATAGTTTAGGTTACTCAAATAACTTTCTTTGTGCTAGGCATTATGCTACTTGACATGCATTTAATCTTCACGACTCTTTTGAGATAGGTACTGTCCTCCTCTTCCAAATAAGTATACTGTGACACGTAGTAGTAACATGACTTATTTAAAATCATGTACTTTGTGAATGTCATGGCTGGGATTTGAACTTACATACATCTGACTGAGTTCTCATTACTTTTAGCCACTATTTCTTTATGTAGCTTTGGACTGATTTGTGTCCATTAGTAGCTCATTCTAAGTTATGGTTATTCCAAATCATTTAGCAAACACCTTCTATATTTCAGGCACTGTGATAAATCCTAGGAGTGCAAGATAAATAGAGGCTTGGGAAGACAAACACCTAACAAATTTTACCTAGATACTGTGAGGTGTACCAAAACTAATATCTACAAAGTGTAGCAGTGCTAGCTAAAAGGAGATCTCTACCTTTGGTTTTCCATCAGTAACTTTTTGTAGACTTAACAGTGTCATTCCATCATTGACACTATAGGATATATCATTTCTTTGCTCACAAATATAATTTCATTTCATTTATAGCACATAGACTATTGACTGCCTATGTTTCTCAGTCTTCTGTAGATATACCATTTTCCATGAATATGTAGTTCATTCAACTCCAGAACATAAGGTGACGACAGAATCTATGAATTCTTTATTATGATTCAGCCTTTCTGTTTTTGAGGTGGAACTTTTGTGGCCTTTCTCATTTCTTGAAAACCAGATTAAGCTACATTATTCTGTTTCATAATTCTCATGGCTGGTAGCTTCTTTATAAGTGTTCATCACTTAGTCTGTATATTTTCATGTTAGGCAAGTTCTCTATGTTTTGGATAATCTGATCCAAAACATTTTTAAACTGAAGAGTAAAATACAGAAGCTCATGAGTGAACAGCTTGATGAGTTAACAGTTAACACACCCACGTGAACCACCACCCAAATTAAGAAATAAAACATTAGCAGAAAAAAATGACCAGGATCCCACGGGCCCTCTTTGTGTCCCCTTCAAAAAATGACCCCTATTTCTGACATCATATTAGATTTTGTCTAATTTTAAACTTGATATAAATGTAAACATAGAGTGGCTAGCTTCATTTGCTCAGTGTTATATTTATAAGATTATACGTTACTGCATATAGCTTTTAACTTTTTTTGTGAATTTTCATTGACATATGGTATTTCATTGTAATAATTCTGTGTGTGTGTGCGCGCACAAACACATCTGTGAATTTTATAATACTCCTCTGGGTCAACATTTCATAATCAAAAACAAAAATATTTCTTCAGTGAAACATGAATATTCATACTAAATGGAATAAATTAAAGCCATAGCCTCCCATTAGGTCAGGTTTTGCTATAAAATGGTTTTAACACCAAATTTATAAAAACAACTTTCAATTTTCAGGATATTTTTGGGTTTTGACTAAAAGGGATTCTTACCAATTCTTACAATTGGTAATATGTACATCCACTGCAACTGGATGGTCTCAGTTCAAATCTTGGCCTCACTGTGTAACCTTTGGCAACTTCTGTACCTTTCTAAACTTCTCTTTTCTCTTTGACAAAATGGAGACAATAACACATGGTTTTTAACAGAGTTAATTGAGGTAATAGATGCAAAGCATTTAACAGCATTTGGTACGTAATAAGCATTCAAATATTTATTTTAGTGACAACATACTTATTGTCTTTTCAGTATTTGTTCTAGCTACAGAAATCTTATCCATAAAGATTTAAGTTTTTGTAATTACTATCAGGAAGAAGATTGTGAGAAAGCGTTCTTCAAAATGGACAATGTACTTATAGATGACAGAAGAATACATGTGGATTTTAGCCAGTCTGTTGCAAAGGTTAAATGGAAAGGGAAAGGTATGTGGGTTCATTTCTGTTTGTTCTGTTTTGCTTTGCATGCCTGTGTGTGTGCACATGCATGCATGTGTGTGTGTTTTTTCTCTTTTAGGAAAGGAAAACAAATGGATGCAGGCTATATATACTGTTTCTGTATCTTGCATTGGTCATATCAATATCTAAAATGGCAGCTTATTCTTTTCAGTGGCTGCACAGTGTTCTGTTAAATGTATGTATCATAATTTATTGAACCAGTCCTATTAATAGACAGTCAAGTTTCTAATTAATTATTCCTCTATGTACTTTATACTATCCCTGTACATATGACATTCCATATACATTGACATAAACATATGTCAAATAAATTCCTGATAATGACATGTCAGACTTAAAGTTGAATCTGTGGTATGCTGAAATACCATGGGTTTTTTAGTTTTATTGCAGTGTTTTTAAAAGATTTCACTTTGGCTGTTATTTACCATGTAGTGCTAGGAGTACTCTTTTTTTCTATAACATTTTTTATTTCTCATGAATTTTATGAAATTTTTTTGAGAAAAAAACAGAAAGCACTACCTGGGAGTGACGAGCTGAATTGTTTGTTAGATTGTGTTACCTTACAGGAGTTCAGAGAAGGGTGAAATTACTAATGACTAGAACAGGAAGGCAGGCCTGATGGAAGCCATGTTCTCCATGGTAAGAGACTTGGATTGGGGTTCCCTGTACTGTTTTTCCCCTTGTACTGTTATTAGTTTCTCCCATGAAGCCTTCTTACTACTAGAATGCATGACTAGATTTTGACACTCCTATCTATTTTGAGTGACATATGACAACTAAATTGAGGCACTAAGACAGTATGGTTTTCACGTGATATTTGCAGCTATGTGAAAGAAAGAATCAAATAAATATATTCAGGAACTATAGATGAGCTGCTGGCCTAATGCAGTATATTCTGGTCTGATAATGCTGACAACTAGCTCTTCTGTGGGATTTTTTCCACAGAGAGCTAATTTAATTTTATCATCAGAAATATATATGAAATAAGGATTATTATAATTCCTCATTACAGAGAAAGAACTTGAAACATAATCTTATGAAGTGATTTACCCAGGGTCACATAAACTGATGATTTAAACTGACCCTAAATCTGTTTTTTTTCTTTCTCAATTCTGTCGTCTTTCTGACCTGTCTGTCCACTCACTGAAGAAATGATACTGCCTTCCTGAGCAATTTCAATGTAGTTTATTTACAAGAGGACTTTTAAGGGAATCTCTTCTTGTTTTTTTTCCTAAAATAAAGTGTTACATAGGAGACAGATGCTTCGTTTCACATATGCCATGATAAATGTATAGTTTGTTGTTAATCTCAGTTAATTTTGAGATAATTTTATATATTATGGATTCACATTTAATAAATCGAATGTATAACTACATCCATTCACAATGCTAAGTACTTTCCCTCATAGCCTTATTTAATGATTCCAACAGCTCTGTGAAATATTAGTATATTTTCAGTTTATAAATGAAGAGAATGAGTTTCAGAGAATTGAAGTGTCTTACCTAAGACCTCACTACAGTCAGAATTTGAATGCAGAACTTCTTGCTTTTTCATCAGTTGCTCTTTTTATTTTACCATAACTGCTTCATCCCTAGTGACACTCCTAATGACAAGCATGTGGCAAATCTTTTTTCAGTGATGAAATAATACCCATTTGTTACAGTTACCAGTGTTTTAACTCTTACAGTTATCTATTTACATTTATATGAAACATTGTCTACTGATCATTTCTGTTTCAGGAACCCTGAATTACCAGATTTATCTTGTCTTGGATGCTTACCATTCTTTTTTCATTCCTATTTTTTTCCCTTTGTTTAAAGACCCTGTCAGCAGTTAAGGTATATACAGGATTCACAATCAAAACACCTTTCTGTGTACCTCTAGCTTACTTTACTTGTACATTCAATCTCGGACCCTTCTGTAGGAAGCCCTCTCACTGGCGTTTCTTCATGCTAGTTGAGGGGATGGGAAAGGCAGGTCTGGGACGTGGGTGGAACTGGATTCTCACCCGGTAGGAGACTGGGCTTGAGAGCAGAGAGGCTGCTCTCCTTTCTCGGCCCTGCCACTGTACACCAGTCAGGCTATAACAGAAAGTCCTATTTTTCTGAAGGGATTGTTCATTTCATTTTTGGCACTTGGGAGGAACAAAGGTGCTCTTAAGCAAGAATTTCAAAGCAGAGACAGTTTATCTCTAGCACTCTAACCAACCGTCTCCTCCCACATCCCTTAGCAAACTTCTATGCATATCCTACTGTCCCCTATCTGCTTGGTGCTCTTTTGAGATTTTGGGCATTGTGTCCTTGGACCTATCAGAGCTCTTTAAAGCCTCACTTATTCCAAACTTATAAGCCTCTCAGATCTGAGACTCAGGTCCCAAACCCTGAACTTCCTTTGGACCTAATGTTCTCGTGGATGTAATGGCTCTACTTAAACACTGCACTATTTTCCAGTGGGTGAATGTATGCCCTGTATAGCTTAGGATTTGAAAGTTTGGTATTGTAATATTCACATATTTCATTAGGTGGCAGCATATGGCCACCTTGCAGAAACGTATCTCTGATTTCAGTTAAAATAGTGATGGAGAATGAATAATTATGATTCTTCTATTTTCTTCTCAGCCTTTTTCTATCCCCTGATACATATGCCACTTACAAAATAGCTCTGATATATTATCTCTTTTATGAAATAATTTGTGTTCTTGATTAAGAAGGTGACTTTTCTTACTAAGTTATTTTTTCTTTTCTAAATAAATAGGTGGAAAATACACCAAGAATGATTTCAAGGAGTATGAAAAGGAACAGAATCAACCATCTAATTTGGTTCTGAAAGATAAAGTAAAACCCAAACAAGAGTATCCTTTACAAGAACCAGTTAGTCAATATGTACTAACCATCTGCTCTGTGCAGAGTACTGTAAAAAGTCACAAAGGCTGTAGAAGACAAGGTTCCTGAATCCAGATGGTTTGCGAAGGAATTATTTAGTTTATGTTTATCTCTTTTCACTGTCTCGTGTATACTTTGCATTTTCAGTATATTCTTTGTTATGGAGAGAAAGTTAGGATTGACCTGATTCTTTCCCTCCCTGCTCTTAGGTTAAGGTTGACACTTCTCAAAAGATCATCAGGTAAGATTCATATTTTCTTCATATAATTGTAATGTTTTAAATTCCTCATAGTCAGAAATTTATTTTAGCTAAGCAAAATCCTTGTGCTAACCCCTTGACTTCTTTGGAGATGGTGAATAACTAGACAACAAGGTCCCGTTGTTCTTTTACATGATTAGGTTGCTTCTTTCTGTTTAATTCATTGTCAGTCTAGCAACAAATACTTGTTGGACTCCTGTTGTATACAGGAGTTGACTCTTAGAGAATTAAAAAGAAATCTATTGACTTGACCATTTAATTTAGGTTTTTCCAAGTTTTAGGTTGAAACAAATAAGAAGCAATGAAACATACTGTTTGTATTATGTCATTTTAATTTTTTCATTGATGTTCTCATAAATCCATCATTCCACACGTTGCAAAGGTTATTTCTTTTGAAATTCTTTCTGTAAATGGCTTCTTTGTTTTTTAGTTTCTGTTGGTGGTTTAGGGATTCTCTTTTCTCATACTATATAGATATTTCTCTTCCAAGTAGTCATCAAGGAAAGATGAATATTGGGTTGATCTGTTATATACTCATTTTTAAAAATATGTTGACTCTGCAATACGTAAAGCATTGTAAGGTGTTAGAGCTGGATAAGTCTACAATATACTGAGGTAATCAATTAGAAGAGGCTTTCACATGCATGCAGACCAAATAATAAGCTAAGATTTAGTCTGAAAAGATGAACATTAGAAGGGATATGATCGAAATCTTAAAATCATAAAAGATATGGATAGAATATACTTGAGATTTATTTATCAAATCTTTGAAATCAAATTTAGTATAACCACTAGTTACTGGAAGAAGGGGAGTGTGTAGGACAAATAAAGGGAAGCACAGTCACAGAGTATAAAGTAGAAGATGTCTTTTCCCTTAGAGGTACTTAAGGCTGAAAAGAAAGAGTACATAGTATTGCAGTGTTTTAAATTCAAGATGATAGATTATTAAGAGTGAAGAAAAGAAATTAGGCATGTTTGAGAATAAATCTCTAGCCTAGTACTGTCCAGTAGGACTTTCTGCAATGATGCAAGTGTTCTATCCACTGTCCTATATCGCTACTAACCACATGTGACTATTGGGCATGTGAGGTGGACTGAGGAATTGAATTTAAATTTTTGTTTAATTTTAATTAATTTAAATATAAAGAACCACATTTGGCTGTATTTAACAGTGCCTGCTTTTAGTCCTTTGAAGTTGATGGAGAAGACAGACAAGTCCTGGTGCAAAACACTATTAGTTATTCTCAAACAGAATATTGAACAAGGAAAAAGAAATTCATGTGTCTGACCCAGCAGGATGGTCTTTATGTTCTTGGTAATTGATATGCTTCATTTTAGCAAGGCATTTATAATCTCAGGTACAATAATAGAGGGATAGACCATGTGTTTATAATGTGTAAGGCATTTATAATATGCTTCATTTTAGCAAGGCATTTATAATAGAGGGATAGACCATGTGTTTATAATGTGTAAGGTAAATATGTATTTTTTTCCACATTACACATTCTGTTCCTTTGTTACTAGGGCAAGGAAAGGGGATTCAGAGGATAACCTAATGTGCAGACAAAGTATCGTAAGTCAGTTAGAAAGATATGGTAGGGATATTCTTTATGGATCTTGAGAGAAAGCGAAATTGCAATAAATGCAGACTGCTAATAAGAAGATTAAAAAAAGATAAATAGAAGGAGAGGCAAGTTTAACTTGGCCAGACTAGACCTCAGGGAAGAAATTGGGGAAAAGAGGTCAGGGAGATCACAAATTTATGTTTCATGTAAATTATTTTGGAGAGATTTAAAATCTTCTAGAAGTGCCGATTGTATTGGTGAGTAGAAGACAGTAGATAGGTGAGGAAGAAGAGATATAACAGTCTTGGTGGTATGACATGTAATCAACAAATACTTAGTATCTATTACGTATTGGGTTTAGCAGTGAAACATAGCCCTGTTTCACTGCTAAACCCAACACATAGACTTTATGTTTTACTGTTGGAGTTTGTGGAAGAACAGACATTAAATAATTACCGCGGATTAAATATGTCTATGGAGTATTGCAAAGAAGTGCATTTATGGGGTATGGGATTTTTAGTAGAGGAGAGGGGTCAGGGAGCACCCTCAAGTAACACTAAAGGAAGTAACATAAAAGCTGCAGCTTGAATTTGGGGAGAGGAGGGCTGAGGTCGGGTGCTGTTTTCTTTAAGTGATTTGTCATTCAAGAAATAGTCTATGTCTTGACCCAGCACAACCCAAATGTGATCATTCACATGCACACATAATTGAAACAAAAATGTCATAGTATTTTTTTTAGGTGCCATGCACTCTGTTCCCTTTAATTCTGTTATTAAAACATGCTGGTTGTGACCCATTAAATGGATTTTCTACCCCATTGATGGATTATGATCAGCAGTTTGAAAAATACTTCTCTGAAGTATTTTGGACAGAGGGAGAAGCATGTGTAAAGCAACACGCTGAGGTGAAATTATAGGCAAGGTCCATTGAATTCGCATCTGAGAAAGGAGACGATCCAGAAGGCGCTCTGGGAACAGTGTGACCTAGTATAAAGGAGAATAGAAGTTAGAACTAATAAGATGGCACAGGCTGACTAGCCATTTTTAGCCATCTTATGAAAAGTGAAAAGGTGTGCGTTTTCCTGTTTAATCTTATGTAGAAGTGAGTCATCCCTGAGGAAAGCATAGACTGTGGCATTGTGAAAACAGACATGAAACTCCGAGGGAAGTGTCTGCGATTACTCTTGTCCCGCATGCCACTAAAATAGCTTCCTCATAAGCTTTCTTTTGAAAACCACTGTTCTTGTCTTTGTCAGCCTTCCTCAAAATCTTCTTTAGAATTTGCGATTATTTTTAGCAGAGGTTGTAGTAGTTATACATTTTCTTTTATTTTCAGGCGTAATAGTATATTAGATAAAATACTTATCTCTGAATTAAAACATCACAATTTTTAGAACATGTGAAGTTAAAAAAGGATTCACTCAAGTTCTACCATCTGGACAAATGATATTTATTTCTCCTTGTTCTTTTTAAGCCGTGATCTTTTATAAAGTTTTGTAAAGTTGTAACCATTGTATGGTGTATACAGTTTTTTTCATCTTTAATTTTTCATAAATACCTTCTCAGGTTTTTTTTATAGCATTCATTCATTTATCATTACTAACATCTTTTTTTAAAAATAATATATCATGTTGAAGTACTATGTAATATATTTAAGTATATATTTATTACTAGGCTTTTTGTTGTTCTCAGTGTCTGTTATTAAAAATAATCCTGTTATGTATACCTTTGTTCATTGAACTTATTTTAATTATTTATAACTTCTTATTTGAATTTAAACATGCTAACCGTTGACATGCATTGTTAAATTTCCTCGTATAGGATTGAACTAACTTTTATACTTCAAAAGAAGAGCCACCTTTTATCTTAAAAAGCTTCTCTGGCATTGGAGTTTGTAATGTTTCAGTTTTTTCTAGTTAAACATGTGCCTTTTCTTTTAAGTTTTTTTCATTATAGACAAATAGGTTTCCTTATTTTTTAGCTACTTATGTTTTTATTTGTAGATACAGTTTTTTCCCCTCCATTTATTGCCCAATTACCAATTGTTAACTGCTTATATACAATCAGGGTTTTTTCTATTTTTTCTGACTATGTAATGAAAAAAAAATTGAGTTAGGTTTGTTTTAGAAATAAACTATGTAAGATGCTTTTTGGTTTCAAAAGTTACTTTAGTCTCACGGTCTCCTTTGTTTACCAGATTCTTATGTTTTGATGTGCTGGCAGTGTCAGTTCTCACATTTGTCCTTGACTAGCCGCTGCAGTGCAAAATATGATCTTATATTAGACGAGGAGGCAGAAGACTCAAAATCAAGTCACTCACACACAAGTAAAAAACACAAGAAGAAAACCCGTCACTGCTCTGAAGAAAAGGAAGACGAGGACTACATGCCAATCAAAAATACGAATCAGGTACTTCTGATGTCCAGACTTTGTGAGTTACATCTTAGTGACATGATTTAGCGGGTAAGGGTAGAGTCCTGAACAGGGATGGGTATGCTCTAAATCTAAAACATAGAATGGTTTCACCAGGGTAAAGAACTTTATTTTTCAAGAATATAAATCACAAAGTATAAAAAAAGTTCTTCTCACTCACCATTTTATATATAAGTGTTATGTACAGCATTTACAGCTCTTGAGGTTTTAGAACCTATAAAACATTTATTCCCTTCCATACTGTATATATGAAATAAAAACAGCACTCATAACTAATTTGATCATCCCCAAAACTTTCTGAACCATATATTTTATATGACAATGATAATAAAAATTTCTGAAAGAAAATTGAGCATAAAGAGAAGAAATCATGTTCAGCCTGCATTTGGGCTCCCAGTAAAATGAAAAGCAAATTACATTATAGCTTCTTGCTTTTGTTTTACCCCTTGAGGACATTTGCTGTGAGCCCTGGTGGAGTAGGAAGATTTCAGCAGGCAAAGGTGAGAAGGGACCTAAGACAGTGAGAATATCAAACAGAGACAGAGCGATGGAGAGAGATTTATGTAGTGTGATTGGCAGAATGAAGGATTTGCTGTCAGAAAAGCTAGATTTAAATGTCCACACTGCTAGTCGTTTGTGACCTCAACAGGTTATTTAACTTTCTGAGCCAGTTTCCTCCTCTGTGAAATTGAGATAATTCTTATCTCCCAGGCATGTTGTTAGATTAAGTGAAAAAAAAATGTGTGCAATCATTTTCTACACTGGCTGTTATTATTTTACTGTTACAGTCAAATTACTGTGTTTTAAATCAGAGTAGTTCCTGTTTGTGGCAATGCCATTAACTGGATTCATATTTCAGGTAATTTCTTTTCGATGTTTAAGGGTCGCTTTAAAATTTTTTTGTTTTGTAGTTTAAAAAATCATTTATATGGTTCCAAAGTAAAATCTACAAAATGGTACAGAGGACCAAGCTTCTGTCCCTATCCCTTCCACATTTTCTTTTCCCCCTGTGGACAACCGTTTCATGTGTTTTATTCTTCATTAAAAAAAATTTCAGCAAGTATACATTTTATATTTTTAGCTCATTATTTTCTAGATAGCTTATTTTCCTTCTGCTTGCTGTTGTCCAGCAAAAGCATAACCTCTCTTCTTTCCACAGCCCTTTAGCTATTTAAAGATTGCCATCATTTCATGCCCTGACCTCAGTTTTTAACTTACACCTTTGTTAATCTTTCAAGTAACCCACACACGAATGAGTGATAGCTAACATCTTCAGTATCCTTACAATTTGAGGTGAATATGATCACCCCCATTTCACAACAAAGAAATTGAAAACAAAAGAAGCAGCTTGACCATAGTTTTACACAGCTAATAAATAGTGGAAGCACAATTTAAATTCAGACTTGTGGTTCTCACAAGTCTGAATTTATATATTCCTATCAGTTTTTCTTCCAAAATCCTTTTGTTGTTCTAATATAATTTGTCTCATAGTACAATATTCCACTGTAACCTAATATAGGGGTCCCCAATCCCTGGGATACGGATGAGTACCAGTTGGTGGCCTGTTAGGAACCCGGCCTCACAGCAGGAGGTGAGCGGTGGGCAGGTAGACGAATGAAGCTTCATCTGTATTTGTATCACCGCCTCAGCTCCACCTCAGATCATCAGGCATTAAATGCTCATAGAAGCCAAAAAGATTGGGGACCACTGCTCTAATAGGAACATCTCCCTTTTAGTTTCTGTACTCTTTATTTAGCCTAAGATTATCCCAAGCTTTTTTATTGGTAGCTGTATCACATTTCTATGAATATTAGTATGTTTTACACTAAAAACTCTTAATTCTTGGCCCCATCCCATGGGGCCACAGCTCCTCTTCCTGCACTGTACATAGAATCATCAGTGAATTTGGGCCTGAGATACATACATATTGGTGTGTCCGGTATAAGAGGTCTAAAAAAAATCCAAAGCCTTGGCTACATTTTAAGTCTGTTATTTCCTCTTCTTTTTATGAATCTTTTTTATCTTGTTTGATTAAAACTTTACAGTAGCAAATATCCTTCTCATTTGGCATGGAGTAAAAAAGTGTTATTTTGGGGGAATACTGTTAGTATTTTTTAGAGAATTTTAAGGCCGTTGTCAACTATAAAATTGTTAATTTTATAATTATAATTAAAATTGTTAATTTAAATTAAAATTGTTAATTTCCTAACTTTATTTTTCCCCTCAAAGCATATTAAAGCAATTTTTTTTTTTTTTGCCATTAACAATGGTCAATCACATTATATAAGTTTCTGGTCTACAGCATGATAATTTGATACCTATATACACTACAGTGTGCTCACCACTCAAAGTCTAGTTTCTGTCTGTCACCATACATTTGACCCCCTGTACCAAATTCGCCTTCCCCACACCCACTTCCCCTCTAATAATCACTAATCTATTGTCTATATCTATGAGTTAAAGCAAACGTTTTTTGATTTTATACTTTAATAATATAGCTATACTCATTTTCTTTCTAATAAAACAGCATCCATATTTAAGATTTCAGTGGGCCTGTTTTTTTCTATTCTATTTATCCTTTTGATGTCATTCTCAAAAAATAGAATAATTAAACTGAATTTTCAATACTGGGTAATTTTCAGGTATAGCTCAGATTTTCCCAGGTTGGCATTTTGTTTGGCGAGCCTAGTTACTAAGAATGTTTTAACTCATTTCTTCAAACTCTGGTTTTTTTTGAGTGACAGCCTTTCCCTTCAATTCGAAAACTTCTCTATTTAATTTTTCCACCTCATATCTTAATTCCAAAGATGGTTACTGTGTTTTTGAGGTTTGGGTTTTACTAGGGTTACAGGAAATGAATACTCAGCTGCGGGTTGCCTGGCTGAGAAGTATTCATACTAGTTGTCAATCCTCCTCTGTGGTTTGCATAGGTGTTTAGTGTTCTTATAAACTGAGACTCTATTTTTGCTGTCATTTTAATCCTCTAATGTTATTTTAATGATTTAGATTTAACTAAATCTGTGATTTAGTCCTAGAGACCAGAGCAAGGATAGTTTTTAGTTAGATGAGACTTTTTTTGACTGCTTTACATGAAATCATTGGCTAGGTTAAGTTGGTTGCTTTAAATTGGCCATTTTATGTTTTTTTTTTTTCTTTTTAGCCACATGCTAGTTTAATCATCTTATGTCTTAAATGCATAAAATGATAGAATTTTTGAATTCCATACTGGAAAGGCCTTAGAGCTCATCTGATTCATTCCTCTCACCTTAGATCCTGACCCTGCAGGCCCTGGGCCTCGATAGTTTAGTAGGAGAGCTGGAACTTTAATGTTTATTTTGATTCAGTCAGGTGTGTTTTTTCATTATTCTGTATCACACCCTTCTCAATTTTATATGTCAATTTTCTGATCAGTTAAATAATTATCTCCGGCCTCTGCAGATCTCTTGAGTCTCAGTTACCTTATTTCTGGATGGGGATGATATTGTACTCTGAAAGCACTTAGCCCTGTGCTGGCCAGTGCTTAGAGGACCTGCTGTAACGTGGCTCCACCGAGGCACCTAAGCTTTTCTCCTAGTTCACATTGCTAGTTCTTCCTTGCTTTTCTGTTTTCAGCTACACTGCTTGCATTAGCCTTATCACAGTCAATCCAAACCCTCTCATTCTTTGAGGCTCCTCTCAAGTCCTAATTTCTCTATGAAACTTTCTCTGATAAATCTAACCTTAACACTATTTCTTGTTTGACACACCTCCTAAATGGCAAAGACCGTTGGAACCCAGAGTTCCCCAACTTCAAAGCTTGTGTAGCTTTGAAAACTTCTCCAAGTAGGTGAGGTTTTAAGGTTTCAGTCCATTTTGGATTTTTGGCTTCCTCAGTTCTGTCTGTCTGTCTGTCTCATTTTAAACACAAAGTGTTTAAGTGCCTATATATGTAATAATGTGCTGAAGATTTTATAGAGTTATACATCAGCTAACAGTCTCTTCATTTTTAAGTTTATTGTCTCAACCAATTCAGAAATTAGGTGTACAAACAGAATAGTCCATAGTTACATTTTGTATATGTTACAAGAAGCACAAAAATTCTTTTATCTAAGGATGCCATATTTTGCTAGAAGATAGTAGGTAAAGGGTTAAACCAAATGCCTACTCATTCTTCTACCTCTGGGACTCTTATAGAATGATAAGAACTGTTGGGATTGTGTAGGAAATCATGAATCAGTTTATAATGTATTTCACAAACACCATGATTATAGCAATCATGTTAGATCTCCATTCACACACTGTAATCACCATGACAGGCATAATATACAGTCTCTAGACAGTATATGGAATAATTATGAATCATTTTCTTAAAACCTAGTCTTTAACCTTGGGTATCCATCACTCTAGATTTTAAAGTTTGTCATTTACATCTACTGTATTAATTTCTCTGGTGATAGAGTGGGGACTGTTGGGAGTTCAATCCTTAGGACCTTGCCTTTTTATTAGAAATCTTTTAAGAAAGTTGAATTTTACAAACTAGCTCTTGAAAGAGCATTGGTTCTGATCTTTTTTAGATTTCAGCTACTTGCTGAGATACTCATTCTAATTAAGGGTAGAATACAAGCAGAAATAGAATTGTTATAATTAGCCTTCTGTATGGGAAAATTACTACTGCTACTTAATATTTATTATGCATAGAATTAAATGTACTCACTTTTATTGTCTTTAGGGCAGTAGATTATTCCAGTGTGTCTTAACTCATTTTTAAGAAATACATAAATAATGATTTTAATAAAAATATATATTAGCTTAGTCTAAACAAGGAAGATTATTTGAAGATTGGGAGAGGAGCCATTATAAAATAAACACTTTAAAAATAATTGCCCAGACTAAAGTAAGCAGTATCTATTTTGTTTTCTTTTTAGACTGATTAACTTGTCTAAAACCCCTTCCAGCTGTGTTATTTAAATGATGTCTTTTTTACAGGATTCTTATGGGAATTTTAATAGTTTCATTGCAGATCAGTGATGGCACCACATTTTGGGGGAGCGGAGAAGGCGGGGAGGTAGAAAGGTGAACTTTTGATACTGCGTCTTTGCTCTAAAGACTTGTTCTAATTTCAATTGGGCAATTTCAGTTCCTTGTTTTTGGATCTGATTCTCCAGTTCAGCTGAAATAGTAGATACAGAGCAATGAGATCGATTTAAAAAATGGTTAAAACTCTTTCTGAATTATTTTGGTTTATAATTTACAAGATTTTTGACATTAGTGGTAGTGTTCAAATTTGAGCTGCTACAGCTGCTTTCTAATGGTAGACCTGTCTAAGTTTTATTAAGTGACAGTGATTTTACTGATTCTCTTATATTTCTCTCTTCATTGCTTTAACAGGATATCTACAGAGAAATGGGATTTGGTCACTATGAAGAAGAAGAAAGCTGTTGGGAGAAGCAAAAGAGTGAAAAGAGAGACCGACCTCAAAACCGAAGTCGTAGCCGATCTCGAGAAAGGGACGGCCACTATAGTAATAGTCACAAATCCAAATACCAAACTGATCCCTATGAAAGAGAAAGGAGTAAAAAGAGAGACCGAAGCAGGAGTCCCAGGAAATCCAAAGATAAAGAAAAATCTAAGTACCGATGAAAGATGAAGAAGCAGACATGAGAGGCTAAAATATTTACTCTTGTCTAACTTAGAGCACTAGACGTTCAGAGTTTTGTCAGAGCAGTTAAAGACTGCTTATTTGTTTTTTCTTTTTTCCACACTAAGATTATGGCCCTTTTAGATTAATATTGATTGTATAGGGCACAGAAAGACAATAAAGAATTGAACATTTCTTTGTATACTTTTTTACCTTAATGTTATTGTTATACCTAAATAGTCTTCATTTTTCAAGTCTTTTGCATTTTCAACTTTTTAAAAATGAAGTTTTTCATACCTACAAAAATACACAAACATGTATATATAAGGTATAAAGAATAATAAATATCTGTGTACCCATCAAGCCAGCTTAGGAAATAAACATTACCTGCGTTTTAGAAGTCCCTTATGTGCCCTCAACTTCTCCAGTTATTGTTATTATGAATTTTATGTTTGTTATTCTCTTGCTTGTTACAGTTTTATAGGATATGTATGTATCCCTAAAGGAAGTGTTAAGTTTTATGGTTTTGAATTTTATATAAATGGTATAATGTATGTTTACTTCTGTGACTTGCTTTTTTTCAGCTTAGTACTTTTTGAGAGTCATTCATTGTTACTGCTGTATAGTTTTATACTAGACCACAATTTATCTTTTCTGTCGATGGACATTTGGGGTTGGTCGGTTGGTTCTGTTTTTGCTTTTGCAAACAATGCTGCTATGAACATTGTATATCTAGGAGGGCTATTGCTTGCTCACGTGGCTTGGATCTTCATCTTTACAGGATAATGCCAAATTCTATTCTACAGCGGCCGTACCAGGTTATTCCCTGCCAGCACTGCCAGTTTCCTTTGTTTCAGCATCATCTCCAACACTTAATTTTAAACTTTTTAAATTTTGCCAGTCTAGTGGATGTTAGGTGATATCTTTTTGTTGTTTCCAGCAAGCAGGCTATTATTCTTATCTTTGTCCTTCTATATGTAATGTGTTCTTTTTCTCTGGCTGCGTTTAAGTTTTAGATTTTTAAACAATTTGATTATGGTGTGTGCTGGGTGTCTTTTTTTTTCATGTTTCTTCTGCTGGGGCTATTTACCTATGGTTTTGTGTTTTTCATCAAATTTGGAAAACTTTTGTCTATTATTTCTTCAATTATTTTTTTCTGTTTCTCCCCTCCCTTCTTTTCTATCTGGGACTCTTGTATGTTAAGCCACTTTAAATTGTCTTGCACTATGCTGATGCTCTGTTCTTTGTGGCTTTTGAAGAGTTTTTTTCTCTTCGTATTCCAAATTGGGTAGTTACCATTGCTGTGTCCTCAAGTCCATTAATCTTTTCTCCTGAAGTATCTAATCTGTTAATCTCATTCAGTGTATTTTTCACCTCAGACGTATTTTTAAACTTTAGAAATTTTATTTTAATATTTTTATATTCTCAGTTTCTTAAAATGCTCTTGATTCCCTCTTTTTTGGGGAACATCCGGAGTATATTTTAATAGCTGTTTTCATGTACTCACGTACTTGACTATTCTAGCTCTGTCGTTTCTGGTCTGCGTCTGTTGGTTGACAACCTCTCTCCCCCCCCGCCCCCCTCAATTATTGAGTTGTAATTTCTTTCTTTGCATGGTAATGTTTGGATTTTACATTGCTGGCTGCCGAAGTTTTTATATTACTTTAAATATGTTGAGTTTTTATCTGGGACATAAGCAACTTGGAAGCAGTTTGATCCTTTCGTAGCTTGCCTTTAAGCCGAATGAGGCAGGACCAGAACATCCTTTAGCAAGGGTTAATTTGGCCCGCTACTGAGAGAACATCCTCTGAATAATCTTCCCTAGGCCTGGTCTCATGAGATTTTTCTGCTCTGGCTGTTGGAAACAAGAACTATTCTGATCCCTGTATGAACTTCCAAATTGTACCACCCGTTCTTTCCTGGTGGTTCCTTCCCACCCTTGGGTAGTTTCCTCACTTGCAGACACTGGTTAGCGTTCAGCTGAAGACTCGGGAACTCTATAGATCTGCGGCTACCTCCTCCGGTACTCTGCCCTAAAATTTTTACTTCGGCTCCCCTAAATTCTCTACCCAGGGATACTCAGGCTCTTTTTGGAGGCATGTGCTTATCCTAGGGCTACAGCCTGGAAACCATGCAGTAAGTTCGGGCAGTCATGGGGCTTTCCTTGTTTTCTTTTTTTAAAGAGTTGCTCTTCACTGACTGTTGCCTAGTGTTTGAAAACCTTGTGTATATTTTGTACAGGTTTTTAGTTGTTTAAGATGGCAAAGGTAAGTCTTGCCCCTGTTACTCCATTTTAGCCAGAATGGAAGTCTCGTTTCAATCTGCATTTCCTAAGTGCTAACAGGGTTGATCCTGTTTTCATTTAATATTCATTCCTGATTGCTCTCTGTGAAAGCTTTTTTTGTGTATTTTATGTTGTCTTTTCCTTCTAGGACATATTTTATGTCTTTTGTGTATTTTATGTTGTCTTTTCCTTCTAGGTTTCTTTAAGGAGTTTTTAAATATAGATTGTGGATTTTAATCCATTTCGTCGCAGTCTTTATTGAAATGTAATAGACAATTAGTTGCTTGTATTTACCTCGTACAATTCAATGAGGTTTTTTTTTTTTTTTTCAGTTATAGTTGGCATACCGTATACCAGTTTCAGTCGCATAGCATAGTCCATTTTTAATATTAGATGTTGCAAACATCTCTCGATTTGCGGCTTATTTTTTCACCTTTCTATTTGATGCCCTTGGAAGAGCACAAGTTTTAAATTTTTCCTCAACTTTTTAATATGAAAAGTTTTATACATAAATGGAAACTCAAGAACATAATGAACATCCGTATGCCTTTTATCCAGACTTAACAATAACATTTTGTTGTTGAACAATTTGAAAGTAAATTGAAAACAATGATGTTTCCACCTTACACTATTTCACCATGCATTTCTTAACAAGCAAGTATCCTATATAACCAAATTCTATAACTACCCTTAAGAAAATTAAAAATAATCCCATTATATATAATATATAGTCTATACTCAAAATTTTCCCGAATGTCATTTTTAAATGGTGGTTTGTTTTTAAACTCAAATTCAATCAAGGTTCGTGCACTGCATGTTGTTTTTGCCAGTTTATTCTCCATCTAGAAGAGTTTTTACCCATCCATCTCTCTTTTTTTTTTTTTTTTAATGACATTGACTTTTTGAAGATTTCAGGTTAGTTGTTTTGTAGAATGTTCTACGTTTTGGAATTTTTTAATGGTATCTTCGTGGTGTCCTCTAGCTTCTCTTATTTCCTGTAAACTGGAAATTAAGAGTAGATATTTGATTAGAATTAGGTTATGTATTTAGGTAGAATTTTTAAGTTTAATGTCAAATTTATTACCTTCCTCTGTTTTGTGCCTTTTGTATTTTAAGAAATCTTTAATAAAGATATTCTATATTCCAAAAGTCATTAAGCTTTGTTTTGTACATTTAGATCTTTAATCCATATTGAATTGTGTGTGCGTGTATGGTGTGATATAAGGATCCAATATTTTTTACACATGGTTATAACCAGTTGTCCAAAACCCATTAATGAATGGTTCATCTAGTCCTTGTTGACCTATAGTTCCACTTCTGTCATATAAATTTCTCTATATGTTTGGGTTTTGTTTCACAGGTTCTCTGTTCCATTGGTTTATTGTGTATCCTAAGACCAATACCAAACATCTACATTTCTGTAGTTTTATAGAAAGTATTTAAGCAAGTCCTACCACCTGTTTCATTAGGAATGCCTTGACCCTGTGTTCTGTGCAGTTTTGGAACCAATTTGTCAGGTTTCCCAAAGAATTCTCTTGGGATTTGAATTGTATTTACATTGAAATGGTAGATCATTTTGTGGAAAAAACATAATATTGAATCTTCCTATTCACGAAGATAGCAATCCTTCCATTTAGTTCTTTAAGCCCTTAGCATTTTCCTTAAAAAGCTTTGAACTTCGGTTAAATTTACTCCTAATTTCCTTATTTTTTATGTTCTATTATAAATAGTATCTTTTAAAATATGATTTTCCATTTCCTAAGAAGTTACATATATTCTTTCAACTTTATTTTGAGATAATTTTAGATTTACAGGAGCATTGCAAAAATAAAAAATTGCAATGCTTGACAGATTTGTGTATCATTCTGTGCAGAAGCCATGCTAATCTCTGCATTGTTCCAATTTTAGTATATGTGCTGCTGAGGTGAGCACAGAGTTAAATATTTGATTACTGCTCTTGTATCCAGCCATTTTACTAAAGTCATATTTAAATATTGTGAATTTTTGGGGGGTCTTTCATGGGTACAATAATATCTGCAAATAACGATTGGGGTTTTTCCTTCATATTTTAATATTTATTTTAAAAAATATACACTTATTTGTGGTGGTGGTGGTCTTTCGGTGCTGCCTGGCTAAGTTTCTAGTACAGTACTGATAATGGTTTCCACTGATTTTAGCTGGCTAAAATTTCTAGTATAGTGATGAAGTTGACTTATAATTTTTCTTTTTTGGTATTGCTCTTGTCTAGTTTTGATGTCCAGGTTATGGAATAAGTTAGGGAGTGTTCTCTCTCTCTCCAGCTCCTCCAGCTCCTCCTTCCCTCTCCCCTCCTCTCCCGTAGCTCCCACCCGCCTCCTCGCCCCATCCTCTTGAAAGAGAAGGAAAAGCTTTAACTGTTCCTGGAAAATTGGATAGAGCTTGCCTATAAAATTATCTGAACTTTGTATTTCCTTTGTGAGAAAATTTAAGTATTGATTAGATTTTAATGATTATAGAAATGATAGCCTTTCTCTTTCAAGTGTTTAGTCATTTTATTGCAAATTTGTCTTTAGCACTGAAGTTTTCAATTTAGTGACTTGAAGCCGCTCATAGTATATCTGGTAGATTTTTTAATGTCCTTTTAATTTTACCTTAGTCCTTATGTTTTAGTGTGTCTAAGAAAAAACATATACCTGGATTATTTTTTAACCTAATCTTAACTTTAATTAATGGGTTTAGTTCTAATTATTTACTGATATATTTGGATTTCTTGTTTTGTAGTTTTTCTGCCTCATTTTTCTTTCTAACTTAAAACATTAAAAAATGTCACCCTCGCCATTTTTTTGTTTTTTGTTTTTTTGTTTTGGGGAATTGCTTTTGAATTTTACCACTCATACTTAAAGTGTAATGTTAATATTTTTACCCTTCTTCTCTGATTGAAAATCTTGGAAATCTTTAAGTTTAAATCATCCATCTTCTGATTTTTGTGCTATAATCTTCCAGTATTTTAGTCTTAGTTTGTGATTTTTAACTTTACAAATTAGACATTATTATTGTTTTTATATAGGCAATTGTTTATATTTACTCCTGTGTTAACCAGTTTCATTACTCACCTTTCTTCTTGCATCTCAGACCTTCCACCTAGTATAATTTTTCTCTTTCCTGAAGCACATCCTTTGATACTCCATTAGTGACATGACAGACCGTTGATGGTAAACATTTAGTTTTTGTTTATCAAAAGTGTTTTTCATTAATCTGTGTTCACCAAATCAGTTTAAAGTTGATTTTCTGTATATATGGTTCTGAGTCGACAGTTATTTTTCTCAGCACTTCAAAGATATTATTCTATTGCTTTGATTTCTTATTGTCATGGAGAAGTCTGTTTTCATTCCAAATGTCATTCCTTTGGAGGTAATATTTCTTTTCTTTCTGGTCTCTTGTGTTGTTAATTAAACTTTCAATTTTTAAGGTAATTGTAATCCACATGCAATGGTAAGAAATAAACAGTTCCCATATACCCTTTACTGTTTTTCTCAACGGTAACATCTTGGACAGTACTAGTACACGGTCAGAATCAGAGTCTCTGCTTTGACACAGCAGAGGTGCAGAGCATCCCCGCCAGTGCCAGGCCCTTTGCTACCCTGCTGCGGCCACACACACTTCCCCGCCACTCCGATTCCCTCCTCACCCTCGGAAGCTGCTAATCTGTTCTCCATTTCTATAATTTTGTCATTTCAAGAATTTTATAAATAGAATTATATAATGTGTAGCCTTTGGGACTTGGCTTTTTTTTTTTTTTTTTCCCACTTAGACTAATTCTCTGGAGATTCTTCCAGGTTGTCGAATGTATTGATTATTTGCTTTTATGGCTGAGTAGTATTTCACGGTTTAGCTGTTCACCCACTGAAAGATTTTTGGGTTCAGTTTGGAGCTATATTGAATAAAGCTGCTGTTGAGTTTGTGTGAACATAAGTCTTCATTTCTTTCGGATAAATACCTAGGAGTGTCATGGCTGGGTCATATGGTAATTGCCTGTTTAGATTTTTAAGAAACTGCTGAACTGTTTTCAGAGTGGTTATATTCCCACCAGCAATGTATGAGTGATCTAGAGGCCCCATGCGTTTGCCAGCATTTGGTGTTTTCACTGTTTTATTTTAGCCATTCTGATAAATGTATAGTGGTATCTCATTGTGGTTTTAATTCCTATTACCCTAATTGATAATGATGTTGAACGTCTAGTCATGTACTTATTTTGCCGTCTTCATATCCTGTTTGGTGAAATGTCTCTTCATGTCCTTTGCCCACTTCTAATTGGATGTTTTTTACTTTTCAGTTTTGAGAATTTTTTTTTTCAAAATATATTCTACATACTGGTTCTTTGTTGGATGTGTTATTTGCAAATATTTCCCCCCAGTGTGTACCTCGTCTTTTCATACTTAACAGGAGCTTTACAGTGCAAAAGATTATAATTATATTAAAGTTCACTGCATCAATTTTTCCTTTTCTGGACCATGCTTTTGGTTCAAGAATAAGAACTCTTTGGCCCTAGATCCTGAGGTTTCTCTCCTATTCTTTTTCTAAAAGTTTTATACTTTTACATTTAAGTCTGTGATTCATTTTGAGATAATTTTTGAGTAAGAGGTGATGCTTAGATTGGGGGCTTTTCTTTCTTTTCTTTGCTCTGGGCATCCACTTGCTCTAGCACCATTCGTTGAAAAGTCTCTGGCTGCTTTTAAGGTTTTTCTTTGTGTCCAGAGTTTCACTATGATATATCCAGATATGGAGTTATTTTGTCTTTCTTGGTATATCGTTTGATGGTATACTTTGTCTTGATGTATATTATGTCTGATGGCTTTAGAGTTTTCATTATTCTGGACAATTTTCTGCCATTTTGCTCTTCAGTGATTGCCTGTCGCCTATTCATTCTGTTCTTTCCTTTTGCGACTCCTGTCAGTTTTATTTTCGGCATCCCCATTCTGCTCTTTGTATCTTAGCTTTCGTATTTTTTATATGGTGCATTCTGAATAATTTCTTCAGGTCTGTATTCCAGGTCACCCTTTCTTTCTTCGTGTAAGCCCAATCTGCTATTTAACCCATCTAGTGAACTCTAAATTTCAGGAATAAATTTTTAGAAGTTCTGCTTTATTCTTTTTCAAATTTTCACAGTTATTTTTAATTTTCTTTTGTTCCTTGTTCATTTATTTCTACTCTGTTTTATTTACATGGTTATGATTTTGACAATTCTAATATCTTAATTTCTTGAGAATTTAAATCTTTAATTTTTTCCCCTGTTAACTCTTATGCATACTGGTTTCTTTCTTTGCGTGTTTTAAATTTTTTCAAAAAATTGGAATACATAATTTGGGACTCCTAAGGCACCTAAATTGAGGATGCTTTTCTCCAAAGAGGATTTATATTTGCCTTTCATGCTCCAGGTAATGCTGTCACCTGGTGCCACTTTGACTTTTTGGCTTGTAGTTTCCATGTATATGCACAGTGTACTTTTGTACCATAGACCATAGTGAGAGTTTACAAAATATCAGGGGAAACAAGTGTATTTTAAGGTTTATTCCTGTCTCCATTATTGCAGAGCTGCCTGCAGATGTTTTTTTTTCTGGCCCAATCTTTCTCTGATGGCGGTGAGCCTTTCTAGTCTCCTGATTTTCTGAGAAGATCTTAGGTTCAGCTTCCCAACTCTCCTTCAGGCCCAAAGCCTCGTCCCTATCAGCATCCCTCCTCACTGTGGCCTAAGCGTCTTAGTCCTGAAGTTCCACATGAAGGGTGGGTGGTTTGCTCACCATTTTATTAATATGTTTTATGGGTCTTGAGGAATTTCCCTAACTGTCTTACCACCTCATCAGTGTATTTAAAATACGACTGCTGTAATTTATTTGGCATGAGGACGCTTTACAGGGGGTGGGGAGGGGGATGGTGGGGGTAGTCACAATTCAGAATATAAAAACAGATGTTTCTCTACAATTGTACATAATCCTTAGCCATCAATATAAAAGATTACAATGACATTACATAAGAAACCATCACTCTGAATATAGAAAAAATAAATATTGTTCATACAGAGGATTCTAAAATGTGACCTGGAAAAATAAATGAGCAAAAGAGAAATGGCGGTTGAATGTGACAGGAGTAGTGAGAAGAAATAACCTGCTGGCATCGGAAACGAATTCAGTAGATTCAGTGGGAAAAATAAAATTAGTAAAACTTTCTGAAATAAACATTTCAAGGAAAAGCAGATGATTTTTTAATTGCAAAAGCTGGAATTTTAGGCATGAAAGACTGAAATTTTAACAAAGATGCATGTATGGAAACACTGAGTTCTATTAATCAGAAAGTGATTTTAATGGCCATGACCTCTAATCACAGTGCCCATCAAGTACCTTTGACCAGACACAGGGCAGTGGACACTACTAACATCTAGAATAAAGTGACCCTGTTTCCTCTTCTGTTTTCCTTCTCTAGAAAGGTTTTAGGTGAACTCTTAAACCAGGCTCCAGTAATATGTCCTACTCATTTTTGCTAAAACCGAATTAAAAATTGAGCGAGATATAGGTAATTATTAGTAAAAGAAAAAACAGTTATTTTGAGGCTAAAATTGCTTACTCATTATAACTTTGCTATAAAATTTTAGGTTGATCTCTTACCAGTTGAATTTTGAAGGATTTTGATCAGAACTATTAAAGGCTCAAAAGAGAAAATTTAAATACGTATGGTGAAATCAACTTTAAATAGGTTCATACTTACGCAAATGTCTTTTAATAAATTGGTTGCTTTTTAGTTACTGAAAGATATATTTCATGTGTTTTCCGCTCATCATAACAATTTTTGATCTTAATTTTGACATTTCTTACCCATCTAGACTGAGTCACAAAGAATGCATGATAAACAGTAAAATCGAAATCACAGAAGACTTACCTTTCAGTAGCTGTTGCTATGAA